ACTGCTGCAATTGTTTTGCCCCCCTGAGCTCCAGCTGTTGTGCCAAAAGATGATCGTCTGTCTGCGGGAGCGCGCACAGCTGCTTAAAGCTGTAGCGCCCAGATTACTTCCATAGACAGCTCCTTCAGCTGATGTAAGACGATCACAGCTTCAACCGTCTGTTTGTTGAAAAACAGTAACGCGACCGCATTTTCTTGTTAGTAACGGTAACGGCGTTGTAACGATAGGAACAGTAATTAGTTAGATTACTCGTTACTGAAAACGTTACTTGTAACGCCGTTATTCCCATCTCTGCTCATCACTCAGGAAGAAGAACAACCACATTCACATTCATTCACCAGTGTATGAATGTGAGAGTGAATGAATAGTGGTATTGTAAAGTGCTTTGTACGCTATATAAATGCAATCCATTATTATTATTATTATTATTATTATTATTATTATTATTATTATTATTATTATTATAACAAACACGAGATAAATTGACTTTGTCCCTGAAACACTGTGCAGCTTTTTTATTGCACTAAACTGGAGCTGACTGCATGCTAATAGTTAATAACAGCTACGCATGTAACCCACCACCCCCTGCTCTGCGTTTAAATCCTCTTATTTCAGTTTCGGGGTGGGGTAGTGGGTCCGTTATTAATAAAACGCAGCACGATAACTAGTAAAGGTCATCGCTATCCAGATCTTTACGTTTCTCAATAGCAGAAATCTGCAGGTCTTGCACAATTAAGTATTCCATGTAATGTTTCCTCTTCATTTTAAATAAATCGATTTCAGTGTTTTGTCATTTAACCGCAGCAGGCATCAACAGAAACCATGTAGCAGCTTTGATCGTCAGACTGCGATAACATAGCAAAAGAAAAGCGACGTGGAGTAATATCACATCTCGTTTCACTGCTGGTGCAGCCCTCAGCTCAACCTGCTGAGTTCAACACTGCATTCAATTCTTATTGCAGGAGAGTTTACTTTAAAACATCGGTACGGTTTACTGTTATTATTAAGAATAGTTAAGGGTTGATTTAAAGTTAAAAGTGTATTAAAAGGGTTATATGCCATGAGTTACAGTCCTGTGCAAAAGTCTTGATCCAGCCCTAATTTTTTTAAATGTTGCTTTCAAAGAGTCATGGTTTGAAATTGTTTTTAAAAAGTGTTCATCAGCAGTGATGTGCAAGCTTTCTGAAGATCCTTCAGAGTCGCTGGACATCGGATGTCTTTTCACTCACTTTCAGTCGAGGCTTTGTGCATCGCTATTTTCAGAGGAAAGTTTACACTGAGTGATGAATCATTCACACATAAAAAGACACAAGATATGAACCATCTACACATAACAGACCATCAAAAAAACTATTTTAAATTGTATCTTTAAGCAGTTTGTTACTAGGAACCTGTTGCAAAAACACTTACTTGTGCCCATTACTTTACTTAAATAAAAACACTAAACAGAAACATTTTGCTGTGTGTGAGAAAGTGTGTTTGACCAAACCTGCACATATAAATAATCTATTACAATGTTAACTCATAAATCAGTTAATACCTGCACAAGCATGCTTACTGTAAACTTGAATGCTATGATTGTTAACGGCTCATGATCAGTATCAGTGTATATTATTTTGATCAGATGTTTAGTTATGGAAACAGATGTTTCCATAACACAAGTTCCCATGGAAACATCTGTTTGCCTATTTATTCATAAATAGTTATAAACAATAAGCAATAGAATAAGAAAATATCAACACAACAAGTGTGTGTGTTGAAATACACGTCATCATAAAATGTTAGTGATACTTTAAACTGTATTTAATAACTGGACCTATTACATAAGCAGTTCAGTTTGTAAGTTTCAATCAGGTTACCGTGACTGTTAATATCAAAACTAAAACTGTTTTTCAGTTTTAAGTACAGCCCTGTGCTTCGTTTGACATGATAAAACACCTTCATCTCCGCCCTGCATTTATTCTGCATCTCCAGCTTTGAATATTTAGAGTTAATAAAGAAGTTTTAGTTACATATAAATATTACACCTATTTTTGAAAAAAATAAAGTCCTTGATTTTAAGGTCTTAAAGGCAATCAAACTCACCCGTGGAGAGAGTGCAAAATGGACAACAAGGAACCCAAGAATGCTGAGCCACTGGAAGATTCACGGCAACTGAACGTGTCAGTGATCAGCGAGTGTTTAAAGGGGACGTCTCAGAGCAGACCTGCAGAGGGTAGAGTGTGAGGAGACAAAGGGTGGACTCCAGCAGTCTCCAAACCATCTGATTCACTTTTGAAGAGACAAAAAGAAGACTGATGCAAACAAGGATTTCTTTTCTTTAGACTTCAGTTGTAACTGTGTTTATGTTGGCTTTAAACACTTCTGCCAATAACACACACAAAATCATTTATATGTGTGGAAAATTTTGTAATTATCTATACATCTGAAAGCACGGTTTTAACCTTTAAAAAACTGCCCTAAAGCACAATAGCTAATAAGAACAATGTCAGGTTGCAAAGGTGTAAAACTTCTGTGTAGTAATGATAGTTGATCATATCTGATACCACTTCCTTTCTTCTTCCTCTTTGCACACATATTTCAGTTTTGGTTCTCTTTCCAACAATAGGAAAGAGAAGTTAAAGGTAA